TCTCCATCCTTCTAGTACCTTCTCAACCCTCCTAATGATCTGTGCTCTTCCGTGGTGCAAAGCTGAAAGGCGCTCCACGGAGCATCTCCTACTTTAGGTGTGAAAATGGTTCAAATTTACCTTTTTGTCTTCTGGCATCCAGATATTTTCAGGAATTCTATTGTACACTGGGAAAATTCCCTATCTAGATAAGTTAGTTTTTCTTAAATTAAGTTCATTTGTTATCAGTTGAGCAGATATGAGACACTTTGCTAATGGAACAAGACAATATACACTTAAAATAAGAAAAAACAATTGCATTGTCTTATTTCAAGTGCATATTATCTAATCATCTTATTTTAAGATTAGAAATGCTCATTCTATTGGTAAACTATCTCATTTACCTACTCAAATTGAGGGTAAATACACTTAATTTAAGACATTTTTACTTTTTTCTAGTTTGTTTTTGCAGTGTACAATGGGGTATATCACCCTGAGTGCAGGGTAAGATCAGATGACCTACATTAATATAACAGTCTACTAATTGATTTAACGTGGGCAGCTGATTATATATACACACATATATAAATATATTTGGAAATGCATGAATTCTATTTGTAACTTTGTAAGCTAGAGGTTAGAATCCTGGTCATGAAGATCTGCTGACCTCTGGATGCCACGTTTTGAAAATAGGTACCTAACACAGAGCCACCAACATTTTCTTCTGTGATTTAAGGTAGAAAAAAACCTTTCTGTGTCCATCCGTGTTGATAGTGGCTCACAGAAAGGGGCCCTTGTGTCACAAAAATACCCGATCCCCTGGAAAGAAATGTGCTGAGTATTCATTTTAACTTCCTGAAAACACTTTACCTATTTCATTTTAGGAATTGTTAAAGGGACCAATAATTTTTGGCCCATGGTGATTTTGTTATATATAATTATTATTTCCCCCCTACTGAAAAATAACGGTTGTTTTTTTTTATTTTTTAGTGTGTGTGGGAAATCGTGCTGCTACAGTAATAGATTACCTGGGGTGCCGATTAATATGGCCAGAACTGCATGAAAAGCAAGCATGTTTGAAATAGTCATATAAAACTAAAGGAAATTATATCTGCACATAAAGCGTACAGAGTTACAGACTTTGGGAGGATTTTAAATGCTGTTAAGCTTCCTCATGCTGCATAAAATAGGCAAGAATGGATGTCTGTTTGAAAAGGGCTTAGTTTTGCGACTTTTGCGTGGGCGCTGTGGCTGTGGGTGAAAGAGAAGCTGAATCCACCTGCTGTCTTGATAATGACCCCTCTCGTCACGCCCAACAGCCACTATGTCCTTCAGCAACACCTCTGTCATTCCATTTCCTTACTTTTTGTGTGAGGAGCCTGGGTTGGATGCTGTACTCCTTTTGGAGTCCTCCTCATGTAAACAGCAGGGAAAACAGGCTACAGAGAGATGACTATGACTCACAGAGCCATTTATGAATTTAAATAATCATGGAGAATTGTTACTGAGTTAGAATCAATAGTAATAAAAATGGATCTTCATTTTTTTTTATTAAGACTTCACCACCTTTATTACAGTTGTTGATGTAAATGAGGTTGTTAAAAAATCTTTTTTAGCTTTATGAGCTACAGACAGATTTAAAGCTTCGGCAAGCAATAACGTATGGCAAGAAATTCGTTATTGTTTTATTAGCTTTCTGCGAGCATAACAGATCCTGGGTGAAGAATTGAAATGAAACTTTCCCATGAAGATGTATCCTGATGCAGGTCTTTCTCTATGTGAATTTATTTGCTGAGGAGAAGAAAAGAAAGGACAAAATGAAAGTATAGTGCTGAAGGCAGAAAAGGAGAGATAATTAAAATAAAAGCAACTCGAAATGAAGCTAATACAAGCGCTTTAGAAACTTTGAAGTGGCCCCTTGAAGTCTTAAAAGGCCAGCTGAGCCTCAGATTAATTTTTAAAATTCACACTCATAGAAGCAGTGAAAAAGCTTTGCTGTCTCCACTTGGTGTGTTTGGGGATTTATAGTCTGTCTAAACTTCATGTTGAAGAGTCAGACTCAGTCAATATAACCACCCCAACCACTCTCTTTGAATCTGTAGCTCACAATCTGCCGCTTCAACCTGACTTTTTGTTGCAGATCAGTCACTACAATCCCGATGGTGACATCATCAAAATGTTCTCCAATCTGTGACCTCAGGATCAGCCCCACAGAAAACAACAAAATTTGAATCTAATGCAATTACAGAGGACCGCTCGGATGCATTATTTGCTAGCTGTCATGCATTTAAATTTTGCATCACAAGAATATATATTTGACGATATTTTATAGACTTTAAATTGGTGTTTTGCTCATGATCACAGGGTTGATGGGGCGTTGTTATAAAGTAAAACAAAGGTCATATTTGGTAAAATCTGTGTTAATCATAATCAGTCTGTAGTACATTGTAGTCATGTGCAGTTTTCTGCCATGTATAAAGCAACATTCAGTTCATTGAAACAGACTCAGCAAAATTAATATATTAATGTCATTCTTTAAATGTTAGACGTAGGGATGCACGATATTGGGATTTTGGCCGATATCCGATATGCCGATATTTTAAAACTCGTGTAGCCGATAACCGATATTGATACTGATGTTAAAGCTGGACAAAAATAAGTAGTCATTGAAAATAGCAGTTTTGTTATCTATTTCTGACACTCAAAAAAATAATATACTCAAATATATTTTCATATGCTGATATCAAATTGATTTTTAAAAACGCGGTATCGATCTATTTTACTTTCAAAATCTCGTGAAATTTCATCGTTCCGTTACAAACTCTCGTGATATTTTGCAAATTCTTGTGAGATTTTGTTAGTAAAATAGATCGATACCGCGTCAATATATCAACATATAAAAATATGTCAAAATTTCGTGAATTTTCGGGGGATTTCGTAGCATAACGATGACATATAGCAATATTTCCTTAGTAAAAGAGATTGATATGGTGTTTTTAAATGGCAATATATCAGCAGATGAAGATATTGTGATATTTTAATGTACCAATATTTTTTCCCTCGTCTTTAGAAGTTTTTAAGTCTGTAAAAAAGAAATTTTTGAGGAAGAAGAAGAAGTAGTTTAGTAGTTTAGT